TAATTAGAGTTACAAAATAGACAAAACAGCTAAAGTAATTGGTTAATAACTTAAGAATTTTACGTTAGAATAACGACTTGTAAATGTTTAGGAGTGTTAGAGATAACTTAGAATTAGTTACTTAATAATTAGAAAAACTAAGGGTTAGAATGGGGTTGGAGGTGAGGAGTACTTTTGGGCTCCCGATTTCGGCACTCGACTACGACCGACTGACTGCCCGCTGCTTTCTTTTTCTCAGCTCTTGTTATCCCGCCTTTAGGAGGGGGGGGGGGGTTCGAATGGTAGTGACGCTATCTGGGATGCCTTCCTTCTGGGAAGGAAGGTTTCGTACCTGACGTGTCTCAGGCAAAGGGTTGTTTGGACAAAGAAAAATATTACTGGCCGTCAGCCTGGTCGGTAGGACGTGACACAAGTAAGGCGTACAATACTATTTTGTCTCCAGATAAGCTCAAACCGTGGATCAAACCAGTATGATTCTAATAAGCTAAGGAAATGTGATATTAATTTAGGAAATATCTGTGAGCGAAATAAAAGCGATGGTTGTTAAGCTAAGTAGTTATAAGTTGAGTTTGGAATTTATATAATGTTATTTTGATTGTATGTTTGAAGATTCGAGTTAAGTGTAGATTATTGTGTGAAAATATAAATATATATGTTAAGTACATTCGAGGTCGAATGTGATGTCAGGAGGGCCGAACTGTAAGATATAGGTTACGGCATCTATGGTCAGATAGTTAAAGTACTAGTTAGGTAGCAAGTCAGGAGGCGCTACGGAAGGAAAAAGAAAGAGTATATAAGTAGAGACAGAGAGAAGTCGAAGAAGAAGCTGCTGCGGTAGAAGTCCGAGAGAGAAGTCAGTGAGATAGAAGCAGATAGAAGTGGGAGCGGTGGGGTGTATATCAGTTGGACACGGTGCATTTGGACACAGCCAATCACAGCACCGTATGATTAGAGACATTTGTAGGGTCCCTTGGAACAGCGACTTGTGATTGGACTGTGTCCAATTGCCCCGTGTCCAACTGATATACACCCGATAGAAGTAACTGTAGGAAAGAGATAGAAACTAGAGGCGAGTAGCGAGGAAGAGTGAGAGGAAGAACCTCGTAAGCGAAGAACCTCGTGAATTGCGTGCGACAAGTACGGAAGGAGAGAAACGATATTCTCTCACGTATTAGTAGTGTCGATGTTGGAATAAAGCACGTGGCATTCCAACGAGAGTTATCGTGCGTTATTACCGATGGACATTTGTGACTGTTTGTAGAGTGATTAAATATACTGTTCGTTATTGTTCCTACAAACTATGTTTCATTGTTTCATTTACTACAATATCATGTACGTACCAGTACACACCTAATAAATAAAAATATTATAACTAGTGAAACCTGTGAATGTGGAGTGGTACAGAAAAACTTACAATACATACTATTTTATTGCTCTCTTTACTCAGAAGAATCAGAGAAGTTAATTTAAATAATGTACAAATCGGGATATACATCCCAAAATGACATCTATGCCTTATCTTTTGACATCAGAAACATAAAACTGTTTACAATTATCTCTAGCTTTCTAGCACGGATTGGCTATACCATTTGAGAACGAAACCTTTGCGAAAGCACATATACGATGGAAGCATTTTTCGGAGTAATGGTGTAGAGTGTTAGGGCCCTTGCAGAATGCCAGGCAACAGGCAATAGGAACAGGCAATAGCCAATAGGAACAAGGAATAAAAAAATGACCAATCAGAATTTCTATTCTCTGTTCCTATTGCCTGTTGCCTGACATTCTGCAAGGGCCTTTACGTCCACGATAAATAACTATATAGGGAAATTTGAAAGTAGTGAAATCAGAGACTTACGTGGACGGTCAACAGAGTGATGAC